GCTCTCCCTGACACTGGGGACAGGGCTCCACTGAGCTGCAGCACTGCGAGCAGGAGTGGAGCAGGCTGTGTAACACCAGGACCCAGGAGATCTCGGACTGCTCTGTAGAGGGAAGATGAGCTGGAAATTGAGCACGTTACTGAATTACCTCACAGAGTAAGACCCGAGTGTGATACAGAAGAACCTTATAACCTGGGATCTAAGTGTGCTGGAGAAATGGAAACTAAACCAGAATCCCAGCTTTTTATAAAAACTGAGCTCACTCTGGAGGAAGCGTCCACAGCAGAGCCTGAGCTCAAAGCAGAGGAAGAGTCGACCGTAAGATCTGGGCTGAAAACGGAGCAACAGCCTGCTGTTGGACTTGAGCTCAAGATAGAGGAACTGTCTGCAGCCGGATCTGAGCTCACTGTGGGGGGGCCGACTGCAGGAGAATCTGAATTGTCTACAACAGGACCTCGGCTCTGCAGACGGAGACCGGAGGGAGGCCAGTCTGGGGGTCTGGGAAACAGGCCCAGGGGGGAGTGTCAGGGCAGAGGGAGGAGAGAAACCCCATCCTTCCAGCTCGCCCATCAGCCCCCTGGACCCTCCAGCCCACAGGATGGCTCACCGCCTCATGGGGAGGCCCAGGGCACAGCCTCCAGCCGAGCCAGAGGGGGGCAGCATCGCTGCAGCCAGTGTGGGAAGACATTCGGCCACCCAAGCAGCCTTCAGATCCACCAGCGGACCCACACGGGAGAGAGGCCCTACCGCTGCGCCCAGTGCGGGAAGAGCTTCACCCGGGCTGGGGACGTCAAGACTCACGAGCGGACCCACACGGGAGAGAGGCCCCACTGCTGTTTCCAGTGCGGGAAGAGCTTCAGCCGGGCGGGGTACCTCAAGAGCCACGAACGGATCCACCTAGGAGAGAGGCTGTATGGTTGTAAACACTGCGGGAAGAGCTTCAGCTGGGCGGGGAACCTCAGGAGACACGAGCGGATCCACACGGGCGAGAGGCCCTACTGCTGCGAGCTGTGCGGCAGGAGCTTCAAGAGGGCGCTGGACCTGACGTGTCACGGGCGGATCCACACGGGAGAGAGGCCCTACTGCTGCGAGCACTGCG